TCTATTTCAGTGGTCATAACAATAGCAATAGAAGGAAAACAGTTGTCAAACCACTTTTTTCGGAATCAACCGTGACGCACTTACTTTGTTTTTTGAATTGCAAGGAAGAAAACGGAAGTAATTTTTACAGAATCGAGGGGTAAGACTCGTTTCCTCCCACTTCCCGGCCTTACCCCCCTTCACTCTCTCCTATAAAACCCAAATTCAAGACTATTAGCAATGAACGAAAAAATTGCAATCTTAGCATATAATGTTTTAAATGAATGTAATTTGTTGTCTGCCTTCGATTTGTAGGTTCACATGCCAATAAATGCCATTTATAAAATCGGGATTCCGAAAAAAAGATTAATTTTTTAGGGTACTATAACCCGAAAAAAAGGGGGCAATCACTGATCAAGAGAAACATTTCCTCTCCCCTTCAAGCACTTCACTTATATTTTAAATATGTGCAACACCCAACACCAAAATTCTAGATATTATGAGCCATTTCGCCTTTTCGTCACACAATTCATATAAACAGATTTCTTCTCAGTACATAATCAGCCTAGATGATAAGAGAGTAAAACTAAACTGAGGAGGCCCTTGCAGAAGATAAGACCGATTTCATTGTGTACGTGGGAGCTGTGAAGAGAACAGCTTGGCCTTACAAGAGCCTCAATAAAATATTCCACTCAAGCACTATTTTGGAACATGGGAATGGCGTTTATTGTGCAAACTCGCTTTAAACAATTCTTGAGGGGACATTCTAATCTAGAACTTTCCCAGAATCAGAAGGGACTTTTAATGTTTCTTTTCTTTTTGGTGCTGACACTAATTTTTAGGGAGAATAAATAAATCGAAAATATTTTGTAGCTGAGAAAATCTTATTTATAGCTAAATACCTTATTTATAAAGCGATACTTTATTTAAATCATATACATTTCGTTTAAATTTTACCGTCTCTAAACCCATGTTCTGAAATCGTTATCAAAAATCTTCTAGTTTGCTGCAAACTTACAAGCAGCAATAAAAAAATAGAAAAAGAAGGAAATTATCTCCAAAATTTGTTCCGAAAATAAGTGTAAAAATTTTTTGTAATATCCTCTATAAACAACGAGACGGTTCTCCAAACATTTAAACCAAAACTAAATAAAATTTAGTAAACTAGTGATCAATTGCCGTCACTCATCAACCGCCCTCCCCCCCCCCGAACAGTTCAGTATACTTGTTTTAAGAAATATGCTCGTACTACATAGACCAAAACTAACTGCATTTCAACATTACTCCAAAAGAAAACTTTTATGTTCTAAGTTATTGAAACCAGCAACATGCACAATACTTTAAGTAAATATCAATATTTTTATCTCATGTAAAACAATTCTAAACTTACCCAGTAAAAAGAACGCAATCCTTTTCTTAATTTTTTAGAGTATTGCAGCGAGCTTATCGTAAATCGCATCATTGGCTGCTATCAATAAGAGGGTGGGTGAGCCTTTTAATCGGCCTGCATAGGGACCGAGGGTGCGCGATATCGGTCCTCGTTAAACAGCTGTGCCGTAAAGTGCTCGACTTTGCGCGCAGGTCGTCGGCCTTCCAGAGCGGAGGAGCCATCCCATCTGCAAAAGACCCAAAATTGTGATGGCATGTCATCAGATTATTCCCAGGGATGTTTCCCNTTTGAAAATTTTTTTAATCGAAATATGTATGTAATTAACTGAAATAATTGTGTGTATGTAAATTTTTCTTCCTCTTTCTTTAAAGAAGGACGAAGTATTTTGTTCTCGTTATTTGAATTTTTCTAGTCTTAAACGAGGATAAAATTTTAACTTAATTCAACAAGCAACTTTTAAAAATATCCATGAGCGCGAAGATTCGTTTATGACTTTTGCGAGTGCTGTATTGAGGCGAGCGTAGGGTTGCCTCTGAGTGAGGGTTACTAGATAAGGCGGTGAAACAGCTGACAAATAAAACCGCGGCGAGTGGAGGTGCTCGGGAGTCGACAATGTGTAAAGTCGCGAACCGGGTTCGAATCCCAGCGATGGCTTATTGATACGAATTCCGCACCAAACACAGTGCTGATGTAAAATATCCTCAGTAGTAGACGGATCAAGGTTCAAAGTCCCTTGCAGTCAGGCTAACCATGAAAGGTTTTCGTGGTTTTCCTCCTCATGTAACGTCCTTCTGGATTGAGTTCAAAATTACAAGTCTACGGAGTTGAACATAAGTAGTTGTAAACCCTAAATTGGGTCGGCTGTTCAACGACGGTTTCATAGTAAAATAAAATAGCCCATTGAGCAGCTCTAGTGCGACGCAAGTAAAATACCTACCTATCTAAACTTTAGGAATTTTTATGCGAATGCTTAACATTTGTTTGTTATAACAGGCGAATTTGTTGTAACTGGCGAGTATTAGCACCAGTATAATATTACTTGTAAATAAAGCTCGTCCTTTAAAAGCAATATTATTGCAAGTTGCAAAATTCCTAATATTTTGACCATGATTTTCAAAAAACTGCAAACAATTTTCATATCTAACTGTTTAAAAATGTACTTTTCATTAATTTAAAATGATAGGAATAATATATATTGTATTTACTTTGATTTAACCTTTGTTTAAGTTAAATACGTATTGCTTATACAAAGTGGAAGACTAAAATAATAATAGATAATTTCAGTTCTATTTCAACTCTAGCCAAACTTCAATTTTAGAAACGAAATTTCTAATACTTGTAATACTGAGTGTCTTAAAAATTACTAACGATTTATAAAATCAATAAAATAATATTATCAAATTTTGTGATTTGAAGCATTTTGTGTAGGCAACATATTGTTAAAATAATCAAAATTAGTTACATATTTTGCTAAATTAATTACCTAGTTATCTAAGCCTAACGCAGCAAACTGGACGTTTCCTTAAATTGATTTTTATAAACTGATTTTTTTTTAATTATTGTTCTTTCAGGATAACAATACTTATTATTACAAGAGCTGAGGAGGAAAAATTAAGAAATTTGACAACAAAATTACGAAACAAATTTTTATTAAACTTTTAATTATCTAAAATAAATCTATTTAAGAAGTTTAACAAAAAATTGAGCATGCAAATAAATATTTGTAACATAAAATCTGAAAAGAATTAAAAAAATATTTATACATCAAATTATGTATAATTGCACAACAAATAAGCATTTAGAAATTGAAATACACATCGCAATAAATAACAGAAGTTTTCAAATTTGTTCAATAAATACACAAATCATTTTAACATAAAGAGATTCAACTTTAACCTGCAACATGTAAAAAAAAGATGATTTTTTTGAAAAAAACTCAAACTTACTTATCTTTTAATAAATGAAGTGACCATTAAACTTTAGTAAAGGAGTTTGAAATTTAAATATACTATAATAAAAACAATTGATATATAATAAAATTGAAGACTATTATAATGAAAAGATATGAAAGCAAAAATTTTAGTAAATTAAAACAAAAATAGTTTCATAAATTGAGGACAAACAGGACAAACAGTTTGTGTCCATTTTTCATAAAAATGACTATTGGATGGCCATCTGTTGCATTTTGAGGATTACTAAGTTTTGATAAATCAATAACACATAAAATCGGTTCTCCCTCTCAGTGAAAATGGGCTGCACAGTGAAAATAAAACCTTTTTTACCCCTCCAAATCAGCTTTTAAGGACGTAAACTGTTAATCCCTGTGGTCTTAAATTAGATTCAATGAATTAATGCATTCTTGCATGACAATTTATGTTCACTTTCAAATTAACTTTAAATTGATAATATCTATATCTTTTGAGACAAAAACCTTTTAAATTCAATTTTAAAGGATAATTTTATTCAGAATATTACAGAAACTTTAAAAGAAAACATAAAACAAATGATAAAATTTTACAATTGAAGATCAAGGCGGAATAACAGTTTGTGCCCGTTTGTAATAAAAACAATTGGGTTGTCATCTGTTACGGTTTCAGGATTACTAAATTTTAACAGATCAATTATGTGAAAGTCAGTTTTCCTCGAGAATTATTACAGGGTTAAGATCATCATTTTTTCACGAAATCAACTTTTATGGACACAAACCGTTCTTTCACCAGGCTATTAAAAATCAAATCAAGCAATTTATTGATACATACCTATTGATACCTATTGATACAGATCAAATACAAGTTAAAACAAACTAACAAAACTAAACGAAAAAAGATCTGTACTATTTTGAAAATAACATTTTTCTGGACTAAATAGCCTAGGTTGAAAATATATAGTAAGAATGCATATTTGCATATGAAAATAGTTATTAAAACCTTAGCCAAAAGATTTTAGCTCAAACCAATTTTTTTAGGCTTTTATTTATTTATTTTTAAATTTATTTGAATAACAACAAAATCACTAGTTTTAGAATAACTACAAATGACATAAGGTACTTAAAAATATTATTTAAAGAAAATTATCAAGGCTTTCAAAACGTCATTGATAGATACTACAAACTAATAACTAAATAAACAAACAAACAAAAATTAGAATCAGTACATTTTAAGATTGTAAAGCTATTTTAATTTGTAAAATACAAAAAAAAAATTAAACAAACTAAATAACTAAAAAAAAGTAAAAGAATAACATCAAGCCAGAAGCAGTTAAAACTAAATACACAAATGGATATAAAAATATTGTCATAATTAAAACCAAAGTACATGCAAAAAAGTCTGAAGACAATGATAATAGATATTTTTTAAGTAAATCAGTGATATATTTATTTCATATTGAAGTAAGCAATAACAATCATGATTTAAGTAGAATATTGGGTACTTAATGAAAGCATATAGTTTTGACTATCAAGAATTAATCATAAAAATACCTATTTATTCTAATTCCAAGCAATAAAATCACAGACATAATCATAGTTGTATACCAAATTAGCTCATTTCTGAATAATTCCATGTCAATATCATTGATATGAGAATACTTTGAGCCAGTTTAACTTTTAAAGGTTCACAGCATTCCTTCAGTTTAAAAGTTAATTTGTTCAAAAGATATGGTAGTAACAACCGTAAAAAAACAATCTCACTGATAAGCCAGGGACAGAGTCTGAATGACAGGGCTATGAATTCCATAAACTATGAATATCATAGAACTTCCCTAATTTAATATGAAAAATACTCATTAATGAAAAATTCAGAATATATGTATACAGTCAATGCTTGTTATAACAACCTCTGTAGTCAACATGAAAACAGATGTTTTAACATATGCTCATTATATCACAAGCATATAAAAGTATCTTAAATGTTAACTTGTAGCAAGTAATTTTCAATATATGTTAACAAAATCACGAAACTCTCTAAATAATAAATAACAGCGTGATTTGTGCCGATTTATATAAAAATGCTATAATCTATATCGTCATCTTTAATAAAAAAGAATTTAGAAACTAATACAGTACAGAACCCGTTATCCGGAAACCAAAAAACCGGAACGAAATTCGATAAATTTTCCCGCCATTTTTTTTTTCCTCTTAAGATTTTAGGATTTTTCTTTCTTTTTTGAAAGATGTTTACCTTACCATCATTTTGGAAATAATTATTAGTGTATTACTTCATCATTTTTCTTCTTTTTAACATTATTTCCAAATATTTTTTTTTTAGTTGGGTTTAACAATAAAAAAACGGCTGTTTGTACGATTCAGAAAACCGGAAAAATCAGTTATCCGGAATAGTGATGTTCCCTACTGTACAATATTTTAACAAATTAATCAGCAATAAAAAAGGAAAGCTTAAATTTAAAAAAAAAAAAAAACTGACTTGGGGTCAGCATTTTATAAAAGTATGAAATATTCCAACTACAGCAAGATTAAAGGTATGATTTATTACTGTGTTCGAAGGTATTTATTTCACGCAGTTAACTAATATCATTTTCCTGCGGAAGATGATAGCAAAGCATTTAATATTCTAAAATAATTTTGGTTTTACAACCTCTTTTTATGTAGATGTTAGAAAGATTTTATCATATTTGTTCTGCAATATCAAGAATAGCTGCAGATATGCAGTAACATTGAATGAAATATTATTTTTAATTAGTACCCTTCTTTAAACTTAAGCAATCTAAAAATGTTTCATTAAAAAAAGCTTAGTGAATGTTTAAACACTATTTCTGAAGTGAATTTTTTTAAAAAGACAACAAAAAAAGTTTTACATTAATATGAATGCTATAGTTAGAATAGATTATTTAATTTATGTTTTCTACTGACATAGTGTTGAGCAACAATAGAATTAAATATCTATTTAATAAAAAATGAAATTTTGTGAATATAATGGAACGGTCCCTGTAATTAAAGGTTGCTGAAAGGAGCATTGACTGAACATAAAAATGAATTAATAAAAATCAGAAATACTTTAATAATAGTCTTGAATGAAGGTTTTTGCCATAAAAGAAAAAAAAATGCTTAGGATTTACAGTATAATATATATTAACATGCAAATGGCAACCAATTAAAATTTTTCTCCTTTTATGCTTAACTAACAATTTTTTTTTTAATAACTGGCATCAAGCAGTGGGTTGATGATCCAGCATTTTCAATTTCCAATTCAGGCTCAAAAGTTTGCTCAATTTTAATAAATATTTTAGGAAATTACACTTGTAAAAATATTTTTTAGTTAAACTTTTATATAATTTCAGATTTTGTTAGTTTTTCGAACATATTTAATATTTCATACTGCTTTAGGTTATTTAACTTTTTGAAAAAAAATATTCGTTTTATTGAGTCAAAGTAAGCGATTGTTGAAAATATTTCAGCTTTTAAAAGACTTTTTTAGCCCATTGAAAAAAACATTATAAATTTTAGACTTTACTTTAATCATCACTAATTAGCAATTTTAAATATGGACTCTAAATAAAAACAAAGATGATTTTTTTCAAAACTACCATGTGAAAAAATAACGGCACTAAAATAGACAAATCTAAAAGGTATAACTTACTTTCTGTCAATTTTAATATGCTGACTAGAATTTGTATATCTTGTTATATAATAACTTAATAAATTGCTTTTAGTATAAAATAATAAAAAGAAAGAAAATAACATATTTTGTACAAAAGCTTAGTAACTAAAACAAACCAAAATGCGAAAGTACCATAAATCTAAGAACAGGAAAATCAAAATTTTAACAATTAACATGAAAAATATGGTTAGAAAATTATTTCACTGATTTGATAAGCATGCCAAATTTGATACTAAATTAGTATTTCTCTAAGGAAAATATTTGTCAAAGAAAAATTATTCATGGCATTTCAGAAAAAAATAGCAGCAATAAGGTAAACAAAAGTTGTTACAAGTAAATCAACAGATACAAAATGCAAACAGAAAACATTTCTTTGTCTTAAATTAATGATGCAACAACACTGTGTTAATGACGAAACCATAAACTTCATGCACTTCCAAAACTGGCATAGTAGCAGCAACAATACAGTGGAACAATTAATAAATAAAATATATGTGTATAATTGGCATTCAAATACAAAAATATTTCATTTAATTGAACACATGAAATATTACCTATGAAGATAAGCTAAAAACTTTAGAGTTTCTTCATAATAAAGAAAATGACTTCCAGTAGTACAGGCAGCTTTCAACACGCTAGGCCATAAGCCTTTATATAGACCTAAAACTCCCTCTTCTTTAAGAATGCAAGTGGCGCAATGAATGAGTCCAGTATAACGTCTCACAGCTCCAAATTGAATCCTTGCTGCTTCAAAACCTTGTACTTGAATTCGTTTCTTAATTAAATCCAAGGGATATATAAACATTTTAGCTAAAGTTCCAGATGCTGCCCCACAAAAGCTGCTTTGAAACATAGCTGTAAAAAGGTGCAACATTTATTAACATGGAATATAAATATATTAAAAATAAAGCAATTCTAATATATATATATATATCCGGAATAGTGATGTTCCCTACTGTATATTTATATTTTCATCCCGTTGAAAATCACTTGCTATAGGATAATTATGCTTTTATATATTTATTGTAATTATTTATATGTAGTGGTGGTTAAACTCATTTATAATTATCATTATAATTTAAAAAGTTAATTGGAATAACTT